CGCTGTCATTCGGAAAGGGCCCCAGGCATGCCAAATCTGTATTGCTTATATTTGTGAAGAAGACTGCCACCTGGCAGAAACTCTGGGACTTTCTGCAGGTAAGAGCTGCAACCTGAGTAAAGTTCAGTCTATGCAGCTTTTAAAACAACATCTGATTTCCTCCTTAGTTATGAAAGATTGCAGGCATCTCCCATAGCTCTGATGTCAGGGGCACATTTGTGTCTCAGAGGTTCTGTTGAGGGTCTTCTAACTCTTCTCTTCTTGTTCCTTCTCCCTCTGTGGCCAGACAGACACATAGCTAATTCTTTATCTCATATCAGCCTCAAATTCCCTATATAATCAAAAATAGCCTTGAGGTTATGACCCTTCCTCCTCTACCTCTTAAACACTAAGATTGCATGCACATTCCACCCAGCTACCACTTTCTTTTTATAGTGTGTGGGTAGAATCTAGAACTTTACATGGTTTTTATTTCTTGTTAGGAGTTAATTGTCTTTCATTTGTTGAAGGTCACAAGAACAGTATTAAAAACTCCAACATCCATGCCCCAGGTTTTAATTATGGCACATATTGTTAGTGATGACAGATTTGTCATCATACCTTAGCTCTATGTGCTTGATGGAATGTAGGAAATTTACTTAATAACTTTTAGATAATGTGCAATGAGATTAAGAGCTAACACTTGCAGATGGACCAGTAGGCAAAATCACTACCCTTCCCATATTTGTTCTAGCTTTGCTCACAGTGACATAGGGGATGAAGTCAGGGTATTGATCAAAGGGAGCAGAGTCCAGAGAATAGAGAATGATTAGGAACTCAGTTCCTGTAGTAGTTTACAGAGTCCCTTCCTGTAGCTCAAAGATTCATACTATTTGGAACGTAGGAATATCACCCATTCATAAGAGGTGAGATTATTAAAATAAGTGACATATGCATAAGAAACACTTTCCAGCAATTTCTGAGGAAAAATACTGACTTTGCACAAATATCCATGATCCTGTTTGGTAATGGCATTCCTGTCAGTCCGATCTCCCTCAAAGCACTAAAACAGTTTATGAATAGTGTAAGCATTTTCTTACCCCATCCTTTCCATGACATAAGTAGATTCCTCTGTGAAGGTGAATGACTATCTCAAGCTAGAATGGATGGACTGTTCTTCCCTGATTTGTTTTAAGTGTCACCTGCCCTGTGTTAGCAAAGGGAGATGTCCAAGCACAGAAGTCTGGTTGCCTTAACTGTTCTCTACAGAGACATCCTGTTTGGTAATGGCATTCCTGTCAGTCCGATCTTCCTCAAAGCACTAAAACAGTTTGTGAGTAGTGTAAGCATTTTCTTACCCCATTCTTTCCATGACATAAGTAGATTCCTCTGTGAAGGTGAATAACTATCTCAAGCTAGAATGGATAGACTGTTCTTCCCTGATTTGTTTTGAGTGTCACCTGCCCTGTGTTAGCAAAGGGAGATGTCCAAGCACAGAAGTCTGGTTGCCTTAACTGTTCTCTACAGAGAGCTCTAGGTTAGGGAGTTTCATTCAGCATATAGCTGTAATGTAGCCACGTTTACCTTTGAACCATCTAATGTTGTATTG